AAATAGGCGAGATAGGTTGGTAGGACACCTTCTCAGGCATGAAGGTCTAGTCAGAGACATATTAGAGGCAGAAACAGGAGTTAGGAGGGGTAGAAGTAGACCTAGATTAGATTACTCTTCGCAAATAGTTAAGGATGTGGGCTGTTCTAGTTTTAGGGAAATGCGAAGTTTAGCTCAGGATAGGAAAGAGTGGAGGTACGTTTCCAACCAGTCTTAAGATGATGATGATGGTGTTTAAAATTGTTGAAGAGCGTAAAGAGAGGATTTCTTCGAACTTCGTTCTTGTACCTATCCTTAGTTTTGTTTACATTGTGGAAACCTGTTATCCACAGATTCTTTTTTTTTTGTACATACTTATACATTTTCTATAAAACATCTGAGCAATCATTTCCTACAATTTTCTAAGAAATAACCTGTTAAATTTTATGAAAACAAACATTCTCATTCTGAATCAAAACTTTTAACTTATTTTCAACTGTATCATTCCATTTCCGAATTTCGTTCTATTTTTTAGTTATTAATCGTTAAATTTGCTTTGGCATTGGATATACTGCAAATACCTGCAAATAGGTCAATCCGGACAATATTATAATAAAGTTTAAGCCGTTTCATAGTAAATCACACATAACGTCGCCCCTTCATTTTATGAAGTTTGAAACAAGTTTGGGGCGGTGGAGTATAGCTGCCGCATAGCTGCAAAACTACTGGAAAATTAGGTACCTATTTATGTATTTTTGCGACCTCATTGAAATTTATTTATGTATTTTTATGTACATGGTAACCTTCTCAGTACTGTTAAATATACGTCTATTAGGTATCATAATTACTGTACCAGCAATTAGAATCTTACAGCAACTATTACTGCGCACACGCAATGGTGATTATTACGTTCATTCAGATGAACGTGATCATTTTCACCATTAGCCACCGAGTTCTAATAATTTTCCAATCTATTACGAAATGGCAGAGCGACCTCATCATCATCATAAGGTCGTCAGACGAGACCATCATGTCTGAGAAGGTATACTACCAACCTATCTCGCCTATTTGTTCCCTTATTATTTCTAATACTTCTTCATTTCTAACCTTTTCGAAAAAAAAATTAACCACTGTCAACACTGATTGAAGATGTTGTCGATCTTGGTAGGTAAATAAATTTAGAAGGATAGTGATGACTTTCAAGAAAGGTTGTATTCTCACAATCAGGAGCCGACAACTGATAAGCTCATAGAAACGCATGAACTAGAGGAAGAATAACATTAAAGATTACTCTTTCGTTCCACCGCATGAAAGCCATTCTTGCAGTTAATAGTCAGAAATTTCATTAGTAGGAGAGTCAAAAACTCACCTCGTCGTCAAAATGGTCGTGCTCCATAATGAAGGATATTTATCGCTATCAATGCCTTTTATGAGTCTGTTGTAGACCGCGCACTTTGACTATCCATTATCAATAACATCTCTGGACGATAGACTTCTGAAACAACAGAAAAGCTATGGTTAAATATTTATATATTTTTTTAGTACATTCATAGGTTACTAAACTATAAGAATTCTTCAGGAACAATTAGATTCAGNATATAGTTTCTTTGGAATATTTCTTCCGTATTTTAAGCGCCTCACAGATAGTCACAAGATGACGTCTCGTCTTACGAAATCGTTACACATGTAGAATTTATTTTCATAAAACTAGAACTATAAAAAAGAACTCTTCCAACTTTACGACAAATATTTTTAGCTACTGGACTTGTTCTAAAAAAATTCCAGAATGTAGGATCTAGACTCTGGTCTTGTTTGTTAACCTGTTAATAATTACATTTATTTCCACTAGCCTAGTAGTTTAAAAGAATGCCGTATCATGTGTCATTATCCATAAAATTAGTGAACAGAGTAAAATCGACAGAATTTAAAAATCTAGAGGTCAAATTTGATTCGCCTTGCTAACGGCATTGTTATTAACAGCAACAGTATCGATCAAGCAAATAAAATGATACTGCAGTGGATACAATAGTGTCCCATAAAAATGGATATGTTTTATGTATCTACTTAACATTCCCTTTTGTTATTTCTATTTTATGATGAATCATATGATCGTAATGTAATTTCATTTCTAATGTAACTTATTTTAAACACTGAAAAATTAATAATAAGATAATACTTAGCGGTTACTCTAGAATGTCTAATTCAAAGAAATTTTCTGTGTTTACGTTTTTTGAAAAGCACATGATTTATAACGATTTCCTTCATCTTCCTTATAAGCAGTAAGTGGGACGTTAGACTTATAACGCCCCTCTTGTGTCGGGCGTTAAAAATTATATTTTATAGTAAAACTTTGGTAACTGTTCGTCAGTGTCAATGTCACAGTTGAGTATTTCAGCAAGTAATATGAAGTTCAGTTGTACAAAATGGTCACTCTAATCTATTTCAAATTCATTTTAATTAATATTTTTATTCGCATTTTAAACGAGACTCCATGGGGAAATTTTAATGTTTAGATACTAGGGCTAAGTAAACTATCACATGAGAAGCTTCTGCTTATACCTTCTCTGTGTATGTAAAAGGTAATGTCACTGTACAGGTGGATCGATACATACATGCGCAAGACAATGCGTGCGTACGTGGATTGGTTGTACATTGCACAACTTGCAAGCCGTTGATATGGTTTGTAATCCATTAGTACAATAAACATCACCCAGTAAACTATCAATAGAGTATATTTTTTATGGCGGACGTTTTTGCGCGATATTTAATACTTTTGTAAACCACCCCTAAGAAAAAAAGGTAACACACGTTGCCAATGTTAAAGTTACTTAATACAAAAGAATTCTATTGTCTTTTGTATAACCTAATCTAAAATATAAGTAAATAAGAATGGATATGTTTAAGCATATAGTCATTGAACAGCGAGGCTAAGCGGCCACTGTGGAAGCACAAGATTTATAAATCTGCTTGAGTATCACTAAAGAGCTTTGGATGTAATTGTTGGAAATTTGGAAGATCATCTAGCAGAAGTTGCAGTTGAACAAAGGAAAACTCGCAAAGAGCACATTGGTTTTTATAGAAAATTGAACAGTTATGTCCTACAATAGCGAATGCAGTAAGTGGTAGAGTTTATTAGAAAAAGACAGTCCATGATGCTGTAATACTCTAAAATTACCAGAAAATCATCGGTAAAAGGGAAAAGTTCATACGGACTATTAATAAGTAAGAAAAGCAGAATTAAAGATTTAGTAATCGTTGGATCTGCCTGTTATGTTCACATTCCGAATAAAACAAGAAAGAAAATGGACAAGAAAGCAGAAAAAGAATATCTCGTAGAATATGATGAAGATGAAAGAATAAAATAAAGTCACAAGATTTTATTACGAGGATGCAGTTTCAGGAAAAACCTTATGAGAGTGAAAAGCGCGTCAAGTTGCAATTTCAAGTTCGAGAATCTGAAAAACCTTGAAAAAAAGAAACTTCAGAAAAAATCTTATCAATTAAGTCTGAAGAAAGTGACGAAGAATCTGAAGTAAATAAAGAGAATGAACATAGCTTTACAGATGGTCTTAATGAAGAAGATATTCGAAAATAAGAAGTGAAAGTAGTCAAAGAAATACTTATAAAGAGTTCAACTTCCAAGTCGATGTTTAAGAGATGGAAAAACACTAATACAACTAGCGCGCTTAAAAGATTTTATTTTGGCAACAGAAGAAATAATCTGTACAAAGTCTTCTCCTTAAATATATACAGAAGCAATGAAAAGTAAGGATAGTGCTGAATGGACGAAAGCTATGGACAGCGAAATTAACTCTTTAATACAAAACCAGACATGGTGGAAAGCTGATACCATATAAGTGGGTTTTCCGAATTAAAAGTAATCTTGATGGAAGTGTAGAAAAATATAAAGCAAGACTAGTAGCGAAAGGGTTTAGTCAACGTCAAGTAATCGATTATAGTGAAAAATTCAATCCAATAGGGCACAATTCATTCAATTTGACGTATTCACCACGAGTTTATATGAAGAGCTGGAAGAGACAATTTATATAAAACAGCCTGATGGTTTTAATGAACAACAAACAACTAGAGTTTGTAAATTAAAAAAAAAAACTTAACTGAATTAAAACAAGCTCTTAGGAGATGGAACAAATGTTCTGAAAATGTTTTGGTTGACTTGCAATTTTGTCCAAGTAAGGACGATCCTTGTCTATTCATTCAAGAGACTAATGGTTGAAAACTTTTGCTATTCTTATATGTAGACGATGGAGATTGTATGATCGGCTCTACAACATTTTATTAATGAACTCAAGAATGCGTTTAAAATTACTTTACAGTCAGCAAAATTTTTTTAGAACCAGCGATTAAAATGCTTCCAAATAGAAGTGTTAAAATTAGTCAGACTGCCTATTCAAGAAAAGTTTTGGAAAAGCTTAAACCAATTGCAAACCAATCTTAATACCTATGTTGAAAAGTCGAGAAACAGTTTCAGCAGGAAATGATATCGACTATAAAAACTCAAGCATTTCCTTACAAAGAAGTAGTTGGCGCACTCAAGTAGGTCATGATTGGAACAAGACCAAATTTGACCTATGAAGTTGATTTCATCTCAAGATCACTAGAGAACTCCTCCTCAGAAAACATAGCTAAAGCAAAAAGAAGAACATCGGTATTTACCTGGAACAGTAAATCTGGATAGTCTTTTCATCGAATTGCAAGAATGGTATATTATAATTCTACAATGACGCTGATGGAGGCTGTATGAAGACTCGTTATAATCTATACTAGTGAAGCTATCAGCTGGTTCAGTAAAATGAAAACAGAAATCTATAAATACTAAGCCAGGTCAAATGCAACCGATCAAGCTATGGAATATGAAAAAGAAGAAGTACGAGGAATCTTGCAACTTGAAGAAAGGGAAAGTAGCAGAGAAGAATTGTTCACGATAATGAGCGTCAACGGAATTTTGAAGTGGAAGTGGCGCAATGATGACTATGATATCAATGAGTCAATCAAAACAACTTATTCTAGGTGACGAGATACATTCAACGAATTTATGTTTGGACTTATTCACTGTTTTATTTTAATGCAAAAACCTTCAGGATCCTGTCCTCAGATAACTTCTGCACTTCACTAGATTTAATATGATTATGTTTTACTCCGAAAACAAACATATCTTGATACCATCAATGTGATTTTAATGTTGGAAAATTGACTTTTCTCTGGACATATGTTTGCATATGGTAACATAAATTGAAGTCATACACAAACACAGTTGACAAAACCAATTAGACATATGGATACTTAATGGAGTTAAATTTGAAATCAGTGGATGATCTGAGCACAATACCTAATGTTTCTAACCTAATAAGTTTTATTTAATATATTCAGTATGACTTTTAAATGATAAAGAGTATGAATAGGTTACACCCAGGTCATTAATCTCATTCACTTTATGAAGAGAATTAGATTCTCTTCTATAATCGAACGCACAAGCCTACTGTGAAGTACAGAACGATATAATACAAGTTGTATTATAATTGATTTGAAAGTTGTTTCTGTTCGATCAATCAACTATAGCATCCAAATGCAATGAATTTTATAGACACCAGACAGCGATTCTCCATTATCAAAGAAATTAACATCATCGACGTATATCGAAGATGGTCCCAACAAATGTTGTCAGTATTTATTTAAATGTTTCCAATTTACAATTTTGTCTCGGTTTTAGCATTTATCTCGGAAAACAAGGTTGTCAGTATTATTTTAAATAGTGTTAAACATTCTAATTTGCATCTTTGTCTTGTTATTAGCATTTATTAGGAAAAATATCAGAGTATAAAAAAATGAATTGTAAGAGGGTCGGCTAGCTTACTCCGACTATTCTGGATTTTCTCAGACGCTTGCTACCCCCTCTGTGGTAAGCACTCAGACTGAAGAGCATGGCTTGCACAAAAATTTTGATAATTTATTAGTATTTAAAGAAAAAATAGAAAAATTAGTTAAGTTCTGAACCTTAATAACATATTAGTTGATTGAGTGAGGTAAAGTGGTCTATGCAAAACTACTTTTCAGAATATTGTAAATTGCAATTGTGTAAAAACTATAAGTCCAACAGAATACTTTTTAACTCACTTATTGTATACAATGGTCACTAATCTTTTCCGAAAGGGAACGGTTTTTTTCTTCAATCCAATAATTGTTTATGTTATTAAAGCTTCCCTGTGTTTTGACTTCATTATCCTCATATAAGATTAAGGGGCACTTTCCCACTTGTATTTGAAAAGGCACATCTCAAGAGAATAATTACAAACAAATATATTCTCCTTGGTGTTTAGAAACTTGAACCTTGACGAAACTCTGGTACAAAACTAGAGTGGGTGGATCGGCTTGCAACTTTCGATGATTTAGGGAGCCGGACCATAGGTTCAACCATAATGGAGGGGTTCTTAAAGAGAAACCAGACTAAGACAAGTCCCTGAAAGAGGGC